ACGGACAAATCTTTTTTTAGTTTATATAAAATACTTCATAAAGAAATGATATTTAGTATCATTCTGTCAAGAAAATTAAGAAAAAAACCCCTATATGACAAATAGTAACAGAAAGTTAAAACAATAAGCACAAAAATTCCAGTATGGAAAAAAAAAACATGTCTGAAGACAAGTAGTGCCAAGAAAAGAATGAGCCAGTGCTTACAGGAATTACTGTACATAGAGGATGTGTTGCACTTCTATTGGTGAAGGGTTATTATTTAACGATGATTATAACATATAGTGGTGCAATACTTGTTGAGAAGCGTAGGGGTGGGATGTATATTCAAGGCTTGTTGTATGTGCAGAAATTTATATGGCAGTATATGCAAGATAATATATTTTGTTGGTGCAGAGAAGAGTAGCATTTTTGAATAAAGATTTGTTTTGCATAAGATAGTCACAGTTCTTTTAATTGGCTGCAATAAGGTATTGCGTGTGAGTAGCTATGAGTATGACACATATCATCAATTACATGCACATAAATGAAGTGCTTTCATTTTTAATATTAAAACACAATCACTGTTCTATATAAAGTATTTTTAAATTACACATGAGTGTAATATTTAATTTATACAGATTATGTATAAAATAAAAAGGTTTTCAATAAAATATAAACTAGTACCTATTTATGGTGGTTACCTGTAAATTATGAAAATTAGTACTATCATAATGATAATGCTAATCCATGTCCTGGACAGTCTTCAGCTTCCACAAAGCCAGAATATTACTCTATAACCTCAATGCTGAGTTAGATGTTTCATGCCATATTATGATAGTGATAGCTAATTGTTCTGTTATTCTATCAATGATATGAAACTGGAATCATGAAATGTATAATCATATTTCACAATTTCTGGTTTCACTCTGTTTTTCATGAACTGAAGCACCTCATTTTAAATATCCCTGAATAACTTATGTGCTCATTTGGTTTGACATAGCTCATCAAATATGTACTTACACAATGAAATCAAGAAATTTTTAAAGCTTTACAAGTCTGAAGTAAGTTACTATTTAACTAGTAAAAAAAAATTACAATTAGTATACTAGAGTAGACTAAATTAATTCCT